TGGTTAGTTGATCTTAATGAAGATACACAGTCTACGAGGTTGGGATTATCGAGTGCCAAGTTAGAGGTTTAGTGTAACTTAAAACTACTGTAGCCCTCATTGTTCGCGGTTCCTTGGAATTTCTCGCTGTTAATGAAGGTATTAGTGCATTAAGAGAGCCTCCTTGTTCTCGGCACCAGCAAATTTCTGCATCTCATTATACAGTAAAAGGTCGCTTGCAACTTTGGTATCTATCCTACATTATATCTCGTGAGAGTTTTTGTGTTCGTTCGTGCTGTAACAGATGACTTTGGTATGTTCGGTTTTTTAGTCGGAATGTTTTCATGTGGGGAAACTTTTTTTTTGTATTCATTAATTACTTCAAATGCTCTCTTTTATATAGTTTTAGGCGACCTAATCACAGTATTTGCGTTTCTACGGCTTCGTTTTTTTATATTGATGGAACTTTGGTGAAATTGTTGAATTTTCTAGCCGATTTTTATAGCAAATTTTGTTTAAGGAATCCAGATGTTTGTGTACTGAGGGCATTTGACAAGCCATATGACCTATTAACTTCCCCTTATGACCCGACACGGAAGTGATTATAGTTGATTATACCTCAAGGTTGGGGCTTTGGTACGAGTGGCAGAGAGGTGATTATGGTGAAGGCCGCCGCGGGATCACCTTAGGCCAGCTAGCGTGCACCCTACCTCGAGTCACGCTAATGACACCTCTGTCCTGTACCGCTTTAAACTGTTTTAAGGGGTCGTGCAAGTTGTACCAATATTGAACAAATAAAACGTTTGATGCTATTAACAAGTTAATAAAATTGAATGTGCCTAGGTGAATGGATTAAAGTTGATGGTTTTACTCTAGTGTAGATATTGATAAAGTGTGGAAACTCAGGCTCCACGACAACAAGCCTTCCTCCAGATCTTGAGTGGGTGAAACTCTTGCTTGCATAACAAATTTTAGGGTTTAAGGAGAATTTTTCAAATGAGGTTTATTACACCCGTTTGCAATAGTTTTATTTTGGGTTTGCCATCCCGTGGAGGACTGAATGAGGACCCCCTGCATTATTTGTAGGGGCTTAGTTAGTGGTGGTGGCGGCTTTCAACACTAGATGGACGACTTGACGCAACAGCCTTGGCATGGATTTCAACAAGTGCTGCGCTGATTGTCGTCTCGCGGGCCAACTCATGACGCCATAGTTGTTACAAATTCTGTGAACTTCTTATATTTGCTGGACTAAAGTTTTGCCAGAGTTCAAAGTGTCGTAACTAGACGTTTTACGGATACACAACATAATGGATTCATAATTATAATGAAGCTTTTTCGTATGTGATACATTGTAAGGGAAATGTATCCGTTCCACCAAGTCGTTCCCCTTCAGCTATTCGCGTAACTGTTCTACCTTCCGTCTTCCCCCCCCTCCCTCCCTCCCTACCTACCTACCCACCCCTCGAGAGGCCCCGGTTCTTCCTGGCAGCGGCAGCAGCAGCAGGCGTCGCGTCCCTGGGCTTGTGTGATCCTGGTGGTGCTGACCCTGTCCCACTTAACACGCTCGCACAGATACAAACGCTCCTACGCCCACGTGTTGGTCTTAACTAGTGTTTAGATATATTGTGCTGAGAGTAACTTTACTTCATTTCCAATAGTTTTTGAGAACTTGCGAGGAGGGTCATATATATTTTGTAAGTGTTATCGTCGTTGTGGATTCAGTGAAAAGTATTGTCTACCTTAGTGTAGGCTGATGACCTTGCCTAGGCTACTTGAATAGCACTGTTAAGCCCCCAGGGTCTTTGAAAGGTTTAAGTTCACTCTGACTGCTCGACTCCCTCGCACTTGGGTCTACAATGGTTGACCCACATCCATCTGGCCACCACTCGACGTGTGGCCAACATCGATTAGGTAGTAGTTTGAGTCTTGTCTGCAAGCACTTGATTTATCTGTTGCATCAGATTTTTAAACAGGCAGTTCACTACCCCGGGACCTTTTAAGGGTTACCATGTAGAATCTACAGGGTTAGTTTGTAGGAACGGAATCGGTACTTACGACGACGTTGGAAAGGAAAAGGTGTGCAGGTGGTGGTACTCACCTAGTGAGGTGTCACCTGTGGTGGCAGGTAGTGGTGGGGGACTTATTGGAAGTAGAGGTATGTAAGGGGTTCTTTCCTGGCCTCTTAAAGTACCCAATATAGTACATGCTGTTGTAGATTAATAGGAATAGTCATCGGGTTGATTAAATTAATAGGCATTGCCATTTTTTTCTCTAGTGTAAATGCTACATACTGTTTTGTTTTACTGGCGAAACGTTTTGGTATGTCAAGTTTCTCGTTTGATTAAATGTTTTAGATTTATAAGGGAAAGTAATTTTTGTGTTGCTGAGTTACTTTTAACTTGAGAATTAAGGTGAAAAACGAGAATGTGAAGTTTTAAGAGGAGTGCAGTGTTGGTGCGGTACGACATGTTCGGCAGCGTCTCGCCGAGGCTGGGAAACGGGAGTCAGTCTATGGTCATGTTTACAGTAAGGTTATTTAAGTTTCTGGGAGGTATTTTGCCTTTAGAACATTATATACAAACAGTTTCAACATAATTCGTTTACAATACCTCGTTATCAGTTCATGTGTATTTGTATTATTGATTTTATAAATTTTATCAGATTAATTATTTCTGCTGTAATACTGGCAGGTGATATTCTCTGGCATGTCTAAACCTTACGGCACTGAATTAATTATGGTGCATCCGCACTTAGCGTAGATAACGTAGAAACCGGTGAAATGGTTTAGTAGGCCTTTGGAGTTGGGTTAGGACAGTGACGCTTATTACAACAGAGAGGTATCGCCAGCCTTTTTTTGTACTGGGTAGGTTGCTCTGTAGCCTGTGTTTGAAGCATGTCCGCAGATTAATATTCACTTACGTACTGTTCCCGTACTGTGGGGTGGTATTGGTAATAGCTGCACATATTGGGCTCGAGAATTGAACCCCATTACAAAAGCGGAGTAAAATTGTTTTGCAGAGATTCCTGTCATTTTTATGTAATTTATGGTTTTTCACTCACAAGACGAGTGGCGCTGCCCAATAAACTCACCCCTCGGGGCAAAATTTAATAAAAAAAATTAAAATTTATGGTTTTGGAGCAATGCCTGGTACCAAAAGTTACCCGGCCACATCTAAGGTTCCGCTGGAGAACTTGTCTTGTATCGAAGGAAAATACGTAATGTGTATTTAGAACTATTGGGAAATCCATTAATTTTTTAAGTGTATAAAATGAGCTTTGTCTTCGCCTGCAGTGATTCAGCATGATCCAGCAGTAGAGGGTTGAAGGGTTGAAACAATGCTCTTGTTCCATTAAATCTACGAGCACTTGTTACTAAGTCACATTATTTCTTAAATAATGCTTGTATTCTAGTGTGGGCAGTCTTGAGGGCTGCAACAAGTTTGCGGTACGACGTGTCGAGATGTTGCTTTCGTGCGCTTAGTTAGCCTTGGCACCGGGGATCTCCCCATCGGTACGACAAGTTTTCCCCACAGTCCCGCGCGAGAGAGGGGATCTCCTGAACAACGAATTGGTAACTGTGAGGGGCGACCTAGGGATGGGTGGGAGGTGGAGCCCCATCCCAGGTGATGGGGTGTGAGGTGGACCCCCGTCTCAGATGATGGGTGGGAGGTAGAGCCCCATCCCAGGTGATGGGGTGTGAGGTGGACCCCCATCTCAGGTGATGGGTGGGAGGTAGAGCACCATCCCAGGTGATGGGTGGGAGGTGCTGCCCCATCCCAGGTGATGGGTGGGAGGTGCTGCCCCATCCCAGGTGATGGGTGGGAGGTGGAGCCCCATCCCAGGTGATGGGTGGGAGGTAGAGCCCCATCCCTGGTGATGGGTGGAAGGTGGAGCCCCATCCCAGGTGATGGGTGGGAGGTGCTGCCCCATCCCAGGTGATGGGTGGGAGTTGGAGCCCCATCCCAGGTGATGGGGTGTGAGGTGGACCCCCGTCTCAGGTGATGGGTGGGAGGTAGAGCCCCATCCCAGGTGATGGGTGGAAGGTGGAGTCCCATCCCAGGTGATGGGTGGAAGGTGGAGCCCCATCCCAGGTGATGGGTGGAAGGTGGAGCCCCATCCCAGGTGATGGGTGGGAGGTAGAGCCCCATCCCAGGTGATGGGTGGGAGGTGCCCCATCCCAGGTGATGGGTGGGAGGTGCTGCCCCATCCCAGGTGATGGGTGGGAGGTGCTGCCCCATCCCAGGTGCTGCAGCCCATAATGAAGTTAGTTCTAAAGTGTGCTAGAAGCGCGATCAATTTTCTGCTGGTTTTGATTTGTTGTATGTAATTAGGTCTAATTACCATCGATGGCAAATGTAAATATATTTAACGGAGAGATAATTGCCCCTCTGAAACATTTATATTTACTTTATTAACACGTTAGGAATATTTTGGCATATCTATAGAACACCTTTCTCGAGCCTTCATTAATTTTGTTGGTATTTGGCATGGGGTCTATTGTAGAGGAGCCATTATGACGCCCACGTCCCTTGTTTGACATAACGTGGACGCTTACAAGGATTCAGAGACTTTGTGACGTCATTGTCCCAACAGCGTGTCAGGATGTCCGCTCCACAGAGCGGGGCATTCCACGAACGCAGTTTTTTTTCCTGCAAATTTGCATCACTGCTGCAAGGCTGTCGGGGTCATAGCAAGGGGCAGCGAGCGAATGCATTAGTTTTCATATGTTAGTTTCATTGCAGAAAGTGCAACGAAAAATGACATTGCAACTAGCGCCCACATGCAACGTCATACTGTAGTTGACGTGATGACGCTGGCGTGACGTCACACCTAACTGGGCTCGCGATTGGTTCGAGAGGGAAAATCACGCCTACTTCAGTTACCACCTTTTTCACCGCGCTGGTCTTGTACCAGATCTCTTCGTACGCCTCGCCTTAGCGTGTGGCCGGGCGGGGTGAGCGAAACGCACTGAATCCTAGGGAAGTGCGAGGGCGTCAGGTTGCGTTTCGCAGTAAAGGCAGAGGCGTCACACGTTGGTGGCTGGCTGGGCCGGGTAGTGGTGGGGTTGCATGAGAGCCACTGACTCAGATACCCAAGCAACAAGTGTGCGGTCGGACGGACGGGAGAGGTAGTGCCGCTGCCCCTCTGTTCTGTTCCCCCCCTTAGTCATCGTATAGCTGGGACAGTTATACTGGACATTATTACATCAATACTCGAACGTGGGTGTTAGTGAGAACGTATTATGGTGACATTGAGATACAGAGGTACGAAGCTTTCTTTGGTGAATACTTTGGCGTTTTTTGTGACATTGTGTATATTTTGGAAAGTGACTTGATTGTTCGCCGACTCTCACACTTAAAGTATACACAATCAGATAAAAGTTAAGCAATGTAGCAGCTGTGAGTGTGAAGTGCTTTATTTCAGATTTGTGCAAGTTTACATAAAGATATTGCACAAGTTTGTGTGTGCGTGTGTAAGCGTGTTAGCAATGAATAACAAAGGCAGGTAATATGATTTGCAACATTTGTGTTGAGAGTATGCTAATAGGGGGGTTTTGTTGTTGTTTTGACAGGTGGTAGTGCGAGTATGGCCATCGACGCCAGCGGTGTGTGGCCGACGCAGAGTGCTCGACGCGGGGCCCTCGCCACCTACAAGTTCCGTGTGCGTGAGGAACGCAAGCGGGTGATTCGCCTCTCCAACGAAAAATATCGCACCATTGATGACCACGAAAGCGGCCTTCGTAGATTCGTACTCATCAAGTAAGTATATGTTGTAAAAACGTTGTTAGTTTTCAATCTTGATTTTTGAACTTCACGGGGGAAATACTTTTGCGTTACCTTTTAAAATGACCTACTTTCTAGATGGCGTATGTTAATTTTTTTTTGTTTTGTTTTTTCTTTGTTTCTTTAGGAACACGTTGAGACGACTTCAGCGTGAGGCTAGAGAGGAGAAGCTGGCGCGACACCGCGCTGGCAGCACCAATGTGTCTCCTTCCTACTTGTCTGCCTCGCGACCCCGATCTCCTTCCCCTCCGTGCGACATGCAGGTCTCAGACGTAATGAGTGTGTACGGCCAACCCGCCCCCACGCCCCTCTCCGCTCTGGACGAGGATGACCCAGCGCCCCCGGCCAAGAAGCCGAAGCTTTTCCTTGATGATGACAAAGAGAACTCTAGGAAGACTTGTGAAACAAGGTTGCAGTGCGAGATTGACCAGAAGGAGGACAGTCGTTTAGTTGTGGACGATACGCAAGAAATTTTACGAGACTTGTACGAAACGTTCACAACAGACTCTTTGACGCAGCCCCGTCCTGGTACACCCACGCCGCCCCGCCCAGACACGCCTTACTCGTCTCCCTATTCTTGCACCTTACCTACGTCCACCTCGCCTTCCTCTACTGCCAGTAATGCCACCACCACAACCACCACCATCGTGAGTAGCAACACCACCACCGCGAACTATAGCAGCAGTGGTAACTCTGGGAGTAGCTATTATGATTGGTCCAGGCCACAGCAGCAACAGTACGCCTGTGGTCATGCCTCGCTCTTGGGGAATGATCTTCAGTCTGTAGTTTTTCATAGCCTAATTGCCTCCTTGGAGTCGTAACGCGCGTGTGATGCTGTTGGCAAACTCCAGCAGCAGCAGAAACAGCAGCAGCGGCAGTAGTGACTAGCGTTGACTGCAGTGCCATGCCAAAGAGGTGCAATCACTGTGCTGGGCGGCCCCCGGACTTGTGTGTGATTCATCAAGTGTTATCAGCTGTGATCTTACCATTATTACACGGACCCCTGACTCGTGCAGTGCCTGAGTGATGTGATGGAGCAGGCGGGGCCCAGGAGCCTACGTCTAGCTACGCGGTGGTGAGAGGTAGGGCGAACAGACCCTCGGTGCTAGGTGACCCGATGGTGGGGGTGTCAGAGACTGCATCCTCACTGATAAGTTGTGCTTATTACCAGACGAGAAAGGGAGTGCCGTGGACTTTAATGTATAACATGCGTTCATCATTCACTTTCATTCATCATCATCATCACAAGATTTGCATATTACATTTTCATCCTCGCCACAATTCTTGCTTATGGCAACATGTCTTTGTTTCGGATTTCTGTCACCACAAAATAATGCTTAAGTGATAATACATTTAGTTGGTGAAGGTCATTTCCGGCTAATTTGATACGTGGCAGTTGACGAGGGCATTGTGTAACGAAGCTCTCCCGTGGGTCAACGGAAAAGTTCGGAAATGTCCCTAAACGGCCACAACCGCTCCAGAGGAAGTACATGCGTAAGTGTTCTGGTTATATACGCCTTGGTCTTCAACGTTTGGTGGGGGCGATACTTTCCTATCCTGCATTCCCAGTGGCTTCATATATCCATTTCATATTTTCTGGCGTTAATACGATCACGCAAAGAGCAGTGAAGTCAACACTCGTGAAATTTGGTGATCACGAAGCCTATTCAGCTGGCAGCTAAGTTGGGAAAGAGATTATAAGGTATGACATGGAAGTAACCCCGGGCGAGCTGGAACCAGTATGTGCTTCCTGGGGATGTGACCTCAAGTATTAGTTGTGTAGACTTAACTGGCATTTTGTTGTCTAGTCTTTATTTGTCCAAAGTTCTCAACTTTTTTTTTTCTTGGTAGGGTTCTGCAGACTTGTTACTATTAAAACGGTAATTGGTGACAGTCAAAAGATTGGCTCGACACTTGCGGAGCGAAAAATATAATAGCGAGTGGACCCGAACGCTGGTCACATAATAATTATTTTCCGTGCTGTAGCGTCACTCTCGCACTCGCTTTACTAAGGCAAAATGTGCCGATATCGGAATCTTGATCAAATCACTGCCATGTAGAGATTAAGTATAACTTCATTGCCTTAAGGTGTTGACGCGTGCGTGGACGTGGAGATATTGTACACGCTGTTGCTCGCCAAGTCTGCAGGCCCAATGCCACCCCCCCCCCCCACGCCCCTGTTATCTTCTCCACACCCCCCTCCTTGCAACCTCCCCCTACACACCCTCCTTGCAACCCCCCCCCCCCACACACACCTTGCAATCTCCCCCTACACACCCTCCTTGCAACCCCCCCCCACACACAACACCTTGCAATCTCCCCCTACACACCCCCCTTGCAACCCCCCCCCCACACACACACCTTGCAATCTCCCCACACACACACACACCCCTCCTTGCAACCACCCCCACACAACCTCCCGCCTTCTTGCAACACACCCCCCCCCTTGCAACCTCCCCTCACACACCCTCCTGGCACCCTCCACACCCCCTCCAAACTACACACACACACCCTCCTTCCAACCTCCCCCCCTCCTTGCAACCTCCACCATACCCCCCCCTCCTTGCAACCTCCACCATACCCCCCCCTCCTTGCAACCTCCACCATGCCCCCCCCCCCCCTCCTTGCAACCTCCACCATGCCCCCCCCCCCCCCCCCCTCCTTGCAACCTCCACCACTCCCCCTTGTTCCAAACACTCTTAACTTCAATTTCCTCTCACTCCCTCTCATTTTCCCCCCTCATCTCTTCCCCCCTCATCTTGCCCCTCTCCAGAAACACTTGTCGGCGAGGTGTCCACACCACCACAGGGCACGGCGCCAGAGTGCCATCTGATCATCGCATAAAGTAGGATTACTTTTTACAATTTTGTATATTGTACAAATGTATATGACAGAATTTTGTTATCATTAAGAGCTATTTGTATTCGGTTTGTAAAAAAACAAAACAAAAAAAAACTAAAGAAAAAAAAATAGTAATATTCTTCGTGAAAGTCGAGACTTCAAAATACCAAAATGTAGTTTGTATAAATATTTTGTACTCTAATGTACCATAATAGCCGCTAATACAATTAATTACCAACCATTTCCAAGACATGTATAGTTATCACATTTATTTACACACAAAAAAGGTTGTATGAATTATTTATTCTGATTATGTATATTATTTATACTTTAAATGAAGAAGACATTAATGGAACACTTGACAATGCAGCAGCTCCTTGACATTGATCCTCCGCACAAGGCTTGACAGCTTGCTTCACCTCTCCCCCCTCAGATGACGTCATTTTTAAGACGCAAACCCTAGGCAAAATGTTTGATTTAGTTTTTTTCATTATCTTGTTTGTATAATGTATATTATGTGATATAAATTATATATATTATACATGTATATAATATTTAGGCCTACATGAACATATATGCAGACATATATATTATATATACATAATGTTATGGATTTTAACACTAATTTAAAATTGTCATTGAGGTCATCTGTGACATTCGGATATCAAAATTGAGTCACAAAGCTGGTTTCACAGGCTGAAGGTCGACCTGTTCTACATAGATGCTTCTTTCACTAGTTGGCCAGTTTTGACAAATTTTTATTTTTCCGAGAATTGGGGCCCCCGTTAGGTGGAGGTTTTCAGAAATAGGCTATGTCGCCCAAGCAGTCTTGTCTAGTTTCAAAAGTTTAACTTCAGTTGCTACTTTGAGAAGCGATTCATATTTCCGCTGGGTTCTCCCTATTTTATTTTTTTAATTTGTGGCGGGAGAGGCCTAGAGGTTGTAAAATGCACAAAAGTCTTCAATTGTATTTTTTTTATTGTTTTCCACAGTGATTGTGTTTGCAGAGTACATTTAGTTTTAATTTGTATTCTTACTTCTCACCAACCAGTTTGACAAACCTCCTTGTTAGAGGATAAGGGTTTATCACAATTATAAGACTTTTTTTGTAATTCAGGTTTGAAAACTGGGTCTAATGTACAAAACAAAAAAAAATCGCTCTGAGGCGCCTTTGGTATAGTGACGCCCGACAACCTCTGCTATTTTTTTTTCTCCCCAGAACTTACGTAGAGTGATGCAAGAAGAGTTGAATAAGCTGTAGCAAATGGGCGTGACTCGCTGAAGGTGCCACAGAGTGGGTGGGGTGGGGTGGGGGGGGTAGCTGTGTCACACTTTGCTTCAGTTATGACATAGTTTAGTGACTTATGCTATGTAGTGATGACGCTATTTACAACTGTGACATAAGGTAGTGGTGGTAATGCTATAAACGAAAGGTAAATAATAGGGATGTTTTTGTTCCTGCCAAACACGTGAAGGTGTATTGATTTGTTACCTTGTATTTTGTGAATTTTCCAAATATATGACATGAAACCTATAAATGTTTCATTCCTTTCATAAAGGTTTTTGCGTTTTATCTGGCTGATTTGCTTTGCAGGATCTGCATAGTTAACGTATAATGGAGAACATAAATACAACGAAATTACATAATATCTAAGACTTCTCGCTTGGGGCCATCTTTTTGTTAATTACCTAAGGAAATAACTGTAGAATGCACTATTGGCTGTTGCATTAAAGTGAGAGAAGTAATGTCGAGTACATAAAATGGGAATAAAATAAGTTATCACATACAAAACACTCCTCCCCCCAGAAGTGACTTTTATAATATATATTTATATATAAAGGGTATCTGTGTGGATCAGTATTCAGTGTAAGTGTACAGTATATACCTCAACTAATGTCATACTCTTCTATTAGGTTCACTATACTGACAACTTTATGGCAAAATGTTCAAATTTTGGAACATTTTACCATAGATTAATAAATGTCGGGTCGAAAAATAAAAGAAAGGTGATGAATACACCGTCCAATTGACTTTGAATATTTGAAAATATATTCTTAAGTAATATAAAGTTCACAGATATCCATATACAGATTTAAAAGTATATAAGAGTGCTTACATGTTTCGAAGCAACAAACACATTTTTATACTATCAATATTTACTGGTTATAAATTTTCGTATTTTGGAAATATATAAATATAAATATATATATAAATATATATACATGAAAGCCAATTACACGAATTTAAAAAGGTATGTGTGTATTAGGTTATTTATTAAGTGGATGGGTAAAAACTGTTAACCGAGAATTTTTACAAAATATAAAATTATGTAGTATTATCCCTTGTAAATTAATGTAAATATGATGTTTATATTGTATATTATTTAATAAAGAAAATTAAATGAGTAAAAATGAAACTCCTAAACAATTACTTAATATTTCAATTTGCATTGACTGCATCCAGCTGGAGATTTTTAGTACCCCTTTAATAATTTTGAAAATTGTTAGGAGATATATATACTGTATATGTATATGTAATATATATATATATATATATATATATATATATATATATATATATATATATATATATAATATATATATATATATATATATATATATATATATATATATATATATATATATATATATATATATATATATATATATATATATATATATATATATATATATATATATATATATATATATAATATGTTATATGGAGACACTGACGAATATTAGTTGATCAATTATGGAGTACGGGTAATTAAATGTCCCCTGGTGGATTAAATTACAGGGTATCTGGACCACTAGGGGTAACCTACATGGTGCCAGGACCCCTGGTGGGTCACCTACAGGGTGCCAGGACCCCTGGTGGGTCACCTACAGGGTGCCAGGACCCTGGTGGGTCACCTACAGAGGGTACCTGGACCCCTTTTTAAGTAATTATCAAAAGAACACACCAAGCCAGGAAGGCTACGTAGCACCACCAAAAGGGCCGGATATTCAAAAGGCGCAAGATATCACTAAGGATGCCAATACGAGAACAAAAACGCTTTAGGTGAACGGTATCAAAGGTATCTAGTTCACCAAGGATTCTATCTAGGAACAAGTGACCTACAGGTTACCAGGACCCCTGGTGGGTCACCTACTGAGTATCTAGGGCCCTGGTGGGTCACCTACTGGGTATCTAGGGCCCTGGTAGGTCACCTACAGGGTACCAACACCCGTGGTGGGTAAACTACAGGGTACCTGGATCCCTGATGGGTTATCTACAGGGTACCTGGACCACTGGTAGGTCACCTACATAGTATCTGGACCACTGGTGGGTCACCTACATAGTATCTGGACCCCTGGTGGGTCATCTACATAGTATCTGGACCCCTGGTGGGTCACCTACAGGGTATCTGAACCGCTGGTGGGTCACCTACAGGGTTTCTGGACCCCTGGTGGGTCACCTACAGGGTATCTGGATCCCTGATGGGTCACCTACAGGGTTTCTGGACCCCTGGTGGGTCACCTACAGGTTATCTGGACCCCTGGTGGGTCACCTACAGGGTATCTGGACCTCTGGTGGGTCACCTACAGGGTATCTGGACCCCTGGTGGGTCACCTACAGGGTATCTGGACCTCTGGTGGGTCACCTACAGGGTATCTGGACCTCTGGTGGGTCACCTACAGGGTATCTGGACCTCTGGTGGGTCACCTACAGGGTATTTGGACCTCTGGTGGGTCGCCTACAGGGTATCTGGACCCCTGGTGGGTCACCTACAAGGTAACAGGACCCCTGGTGGGTCACCTAAAGGGTAATAGGACCCTGGTGGGTCAAGTTACAAGGTTCCTGGAACTCTGGTGGGTCACCTACGGGGTATCTGGACCCCTGGTGGGTAACCTACGGGGTATCTGAACCCCTGGTGGGTAACCTACGGGGTATCTGAACCCCTGGTGGGTAACCTACGGGGTATCTGAACCCCTGGTGGGTCACCTACGGCGTATCTGGACCCCTGGTGGGTCACCTACGGGGTATTTGGACCCCTGGTGGGTCACCTACAGGGAATCTGGACCCCTGGTGGGTCACCTACAGG